GCTTATCTGTCAGCTTACTTACATGTTTTTTAAAACATCCAATAAATTTGTTGAGCCTAATAAAAAAACATATTTTCTAAAGAATGCCAAAAACATTTACTGGAATTTCTATAGCATATAGCAGCATCATTCACAACAATATTTAAGGAATAAACACTGCAGGTAACATAGAAAGCTCATGAGTTCAAGTCCATTATTCATTTTTGTTCATCTGAGTGCATGCCCCTCATGTTGGAGCCCTTATCATACTCCTGACTAGAATTGAGCGAACCCAAACTGTAAAGTTCGGGTTCATACCGAACATTAGGTTTTTTGGGCCCCGGACCAGAACACGGACATATCACTGTATGTTCGGGTTGGAGTTCGGTGTTCGGCGATTTAATGGTGCGTTTTGAAAGGCTGCAGGGCAGCCAATTAACAAGCGTTTGACTCGTGTGCCCTTAGAAGCCATCACAGCCATGCATACTAATGGCATGGCTGTGATTGGCCAGTGCAGCATGTGACCCAGCCTCTATATATAAGCTGGAGTTGCGTAGCGTCGCACGCACATGCGGTCTTATTAGTGTAGGGAGAGGATGCTGCCGCTGATAGGGACAGCTTAGGAAAAAATTCTAACTAGTACATTAGTGGGGTGGGGTGCTCTTCATATGTGAGAGTCAAATAGAAGCTTTAAATACAGCGATTACATCTGAGTTTTAAAAAGTAAATTTTTTTTGGTGCTAAATAATACATTAGTGGGGTAGTACATTAGTGGGGTGCACTTCATATCTGAGAGTCAAATACAAGCGTCAAATACTGCTGTCACATTGCAGTTTTAAAGCATACCATTTTTTGGGTCCTAAATTGCTAAATAGTGTTTTAGTGGGGTGCACTTCATATCTGAGAGTCAAATCGAAGCGTCTATTAGTGTGCTTATAGCGCAGTTGTAAAAATTCTAATCTTGTGGGTGTTAATCTGCTAAATATTACATTTTGGGGCCTGCGGTGCACTTCATATCTGAGAGTCAAATCGAAGCGTCTAATAGTGTGCTTACAGCGCAGTTGTAAAAATTCTAATTTTCTGGGTGCTAATCTGCTAAATAGTACATTTTGTGGCCTGCTCTTCATATCTGAGAGTCAAATAGAAGCGTCTAATACTGCGGTTACAGCGCAATTGTAAACATTCAAATTTTTTTTTTTTGCTAAATTGCTAAATAGTAAATTTTCGGGCATGCACTTCGTATCTGAGAGTAAAATAGAAGCGTCTAATATTGCGGTTACAGTGCAATTGTAAACATTCTAATTGTTTTGGTGCTAAACTGCTAAATAGTACATTTTGGGGCATGCACTTCATATCTGAGAGTCAAATAGAAGCGTCTAATACTGCGGTTACAGCGCAGTTGTAAACATTCTAATTGTTTTGCTGCTAATCTGCTGCTTACATTGGAGTTTTAAAAAGTAAATTTTTGTATTTTTTTTTTGGTGCTAAATAGTATATTTGGGATGTTCACTTCATATCTGAGAGTCAAATAGAAGCGTCAAATAGTGCTCTTACTGCACAGTTGTAAACATTCTAATTGTTTTGCTGCTAATCTGCTGCTTACATTGAAGTTTTAAAAAGTAAAATTTTTGTTTTGGTGCTAAATAGTATATTTGGGGTGTTCACTTCATATCTGAGAGTCAAATAGAAGCGTCTTATACTGCGGTTACAGCGCAATTGTAAACATTCTAATTGTTTTGGTGCTAAACTGCTAAATAGTACATTTTGGGGCATGCACTTCATATCTGAGAGCAGGGCCGCCATCAGGGGGTGAGAGCCATAATGGAAGAGCCAGGGCCCCACACGGAGCACGCGAAACTGCCGCAGGTGCATCTGCACTGGGGCCCATCAGGTGGCCCGAGCATTTAGGGCCACCCGATGGGCCCTATATCTTCAGGGGCCCGGTCAGCGCTGCGGCCAGGTAATTGTGCGACCGGGCCCCTTTTAAAAAAAAAAAATTGCGGCTACACCGCAAGTGCTGCTGGGAGGAAGTGATGGCCGGTCACTTCCTCCCAGCTTACTGCGCCCGGGAGAAGAGCGGAGGGAGAGCAGAGGAGAGGAGAGAGGAGAGGCATCCGCTCGCTCCCATCATCCTCAGCCACCCTCCTGCAACTTAAAGGTAAGAGGAGGGTGGCTGATAAATGAGGTATGTGTGTGTATATGTATGTATGTCTGTGTGTATGTCAGTATGTATGTCTGTGTGTATGTCTGTATGTCTGTATGAATGTGTATGTCTGTGTGTATGTCTGAATGTGTATGTCAGTATGTATGTCTGTATGTCTGTGTGTATGTCTGTATGTATGTCTGTGTGTATGTCTGTATGTATGTGTCTGTATGTATGTCTGTGTGTATGTCTGTATGTATGTCAGTAAGTATGTCTGTATGTATGTCTGTATGTATGTCTGTATGTATGTCAGTATGTATGTCAGTATATATGTCTGTGTGTATGTATGTATGTATGTATGTCTGTGTGTATGTATGTGTGTATGTCAGTATGTATGTCTGTGTGTATGGCTGTGTGTATGTCGGTATGTATGTCTGTATGTATGTCAGTATGCATGTCTGTGTGTCGGTATGCATGTATGTCTGTGTGTATGTCAGTATGTATGTCTGTGTGTGTGTATGTATGCCTGTGTGTATGCCTGTGTGTATGTCAGTATGTATGTCTGTGTATGTATGCCTGTGTGTGTGTATGTCAGTATGTATACAGATAAACACAAAAGACAGAATTCAGCGCTAATTATCACACAATTAATAAAGGTAGGCAGCAACCCAAAAGAAGGGAACCCCTCTGTGTATGTGTCTATGTATGTATGTCAGTGTGTGTATGTGTATGTGTGTCTGCATGTATGTCAGTGTGTGTATGTCAGTATGTCTGTGTGTATGTGTTTATTTGTATGTGTGTGTGTATGTCAGTATGTATATATGTCTGTATGTATGTCTTTGTCAGTATGTATGTCTATGTATATGTCTGCAAGTATGTATGTATGTATGTCTCTGTGTCTGTATGTCTGTGTGTGTGTCAGTATGTATGTATGTATGTATGTGTCTATGTATATATCTGTCAGTATGCAAGTATGTCTGTGTGTGTATGTCAGTATGTCTGTATGTATCTGTGTTTGTATAGTGATGTCCTGAACGGTTCGCTGGCGAATAGTTCCTGGCGAACATAGCGTGTTCGCGTTCGCCACGGACGGCGAACATATGCGATGTTAGGTCCGCCCCTATTAATTTACTAATAAAAATTACTTAGTATTAGTAAATTGTGCCCCTACTCGCAATTTTTTTACAGGTTTTTAGTTAAAGGTCCCCCCCTCATTATTTTTATAATGACAATTCGCCTGCCTATTGAAGTTCGCGTTCACGGTTCGCGAACCGAAAATTTTATGTTCGCGACATCACTATGTATGTATATATGTATCTGTGTGTGTATGTCTGTATGTATGTATATCAGTATGTATGTGTATGTATGCCATTATGTATTTATGTGTCTGTATGTATGTCTGTTTGTATGTCTGTATGTCAGTTTATATGTATGTCTGTTTGTCAGTATGTATGTATGTCTGTATGTATGTGTGTCAGTATGTGAGTATGTATGTACGTCAGTGTGTGTGTCTGTATATCAGTGTGTGTGTATCTTTCTGTGTCTGTGTCCTTTTGTGTCTGTGTCCTTTTGTGTCTGTGTGTGTATTCCTGTGGGTGGGATTTGGAGGCAGGGCTTGGAGACGGGCACACGGGGGCCCAGACCTTGAGCTGCGTTAGAGGCCCCACAATTTCTTATGGCAGCCCTGTCTGAGAGTCAAATAGAAGCGTCAAATAGTGCGCTTACTGCACTGTTGTAAACATTCTAATTATTTTGCTGCTAATCTGCTGCTTACATTGGAGTTTTAAAAAGTTATTATTTTTTTTTTGGTGCTAAATAGTATATTTGGGGTGTTCACTTCATATATGAGAGTCAAATCGAAGCGTAACTTTGATTTGAATTTACTACATCGGTCACTTGTAATATTGTTTCACACCTACAACAATTGTTACACAGGTCTAAGTGATAGAAAACAGATTGATATTTTCTACACTAGAAACTACCAGATAACAAGCTGCTATATTTAAACCAGTTATCAATAGCTAAGTGATACTTCAACAAAATTGTAATTCTGGGGCAATACCCTCACAAGTCAAACTGAAAGGTCAGTTTATAGGGAAAACTGTTGCCTAGATACAATTCTAAAACAATTACCATATGTCATTTGCAGACTTTACATGCTGGAAAAACACAGGTGCCAACTGTTGTGGCTTTCTGCAGTGTGCATACCGGCAAGGAGGGCAGGGTTGAGTGGGTGGAAGATGATGTGGAGGATGATGAGGTCCTAGAACCCACATGGAATCAGGGTCATGCGAATGACGTGTCTGCAGTTTGGAGGAAGAGGCGCTGGTCGCACAGAGGCACTAGCACAGCATAAGAGGGAGCAGGGTGCAAAAGCGGAGCGGCCGTCCCCTAGCGCTCATCGGCATGTATTAGCTCGAGAATTACCAGTTATCCAAGTAATACATGTAGCGATCAAAGGATCCATAATAAGGTTGAGCGAACCCGAACTGCAAACGATCCATTTGTAGTTTCACAGTCAGGTGGGCAGTCCGGTGACCAGGACCCAGACACTGTCTGGATGGTGGTCGGACGACCGGGAACCAGTATGCCTGATGTTGAAGTTAGGAGTCACAGTGTGGAATGGATTAGCAGCGTCTGGTGCAGAGTAACCACACGCCCCCTGGTGTTGAGCACCAGGGTTTGTGCAGCCACATACCAGGACCCTGATGCAGTAAAAAGAGTACTGGATACCAGAAGCCATCACCAGACTGATCCGCAACTTGGAACAGGATGTGATATTCACTGTAGCGGCTGTGCGCGCTTTTGGCGTTGTCACCGTGCTGCTGCTCGCCTGTCTGCGCTGCAGCATAACTTCGGCCTTCCCGCTCACCGCTTCATGAGACTGTGCAAGCAGCAGCAGGCGATAGTTAAAGGTTAAAGGGTTTCAAGTGGACTCATTACTATTACAGGGCCTTTAAAGAGTCCTGTATTGTTATATGTTGTCACTACCTTCCCGCATCAGGGGTGGGTCATTTGTGCGCCTGCTGCCTTCCTTGCATGTGGTAGCTGTTTCTCAGGGTCCCTGTATGGAATGGAACCCTGATTCCCCTATGTCCCACAACAAGAGGACATAGTCTTAAATTAGAGGGACAAAGGTTTAAAAATAATATCAGGAAGTATTACTTTACTGAGAGGGTAGTGGATGCATGGAATAGCCTTCCAGCTGAAGTGGTAGAGGTTAAAACAGTAAAGGAGTTTAAGCATGCGTGGGATAGGCATAAGGCTATCCTAACTATAAGATAAGGCTAGGGACTAATGAAAGTATTTAGAAAATTGGGCAGACTAGATGGGCCGAATGGTTCTTATCTGCCGTCACATTCTATGTTTCTATGTTTCTATGTTACCCGTGGTCACCATGGTAGGCGCAGAAACTGGCATCGAAAGTTGATATGGATGACATTGACATGCAAAGTTGCCGCCACGGGGGTGTTCGATTGGCCCAAGGTTCTCTAGAGTCAACAAAGTGCCTGCGCAACTATAATGTCAAAAGCTACTCTGCGGAACAGAGTTGTCTTTTTTTATATGTCCCAATATTTTGGGGGCTACCCCTATTAATTAATATATATATATATATATATATATATATATATATATATATAAATAAAACAGTGTTGGCTACCTCATCCTCCTCCCCCACCGCTGCTTCCACCTACACCGCCATGGTCACTGCCTCCTCAACCTATAGGTCACTTAGTATAAACTAGGTACACATTAGCAGAGGCTTGTGAAGGCCTTTTCTCCATGCATCAGGAGTTGAGCATTTCTCCATGCATCAGGACTGCAAGAAGTGCACCGCAGGACGCAAATGTTTCTTTTTTTGTATATCCCAATATTTTGTGGACTACCACAATTTAAAAAAAAAAAACCATAAATGACAGTGTTGGCTAACTCATCCTCCTCCTCCACCGCCACAGTCACCACCTCCTCAACCTATAGGTAGTGATGTACCGAACGGTTCGCTGGCGAACGGTTCCTGGCGAACATAGCATGTTCGCGTTCGCCACGGCGGGCGAACATATGCGCGGTTCGACCCGCCCCCTATTCGTCATCATTGAGTAAACTTTGACCCTGTACCTCACAGTCAGCAGACACATTCCAGCCAATTAGCAGCACAGCCTCTCTAGCAGACCCTCCCACCTACTGGACAGCA